CAAAATGACAGAGAAGACACCCTCATCTTTATATCCAACATTTTTATGCTTCTCTCAGTGAAGAGTCGCGTTCGAACTGTTGAAAACTGCCAACACTTGGTTGATGGTCTGTGGTGCGTGGGCACTGGTCACTAACGCTTAGGCACTACAGTCACAGTGCCTGCATTTTGCCCCCTCAAATTTGAGAGGATCAAAAGGTGTATTCAAAATGTAGCATTTTTACACCTCCTAGTGAAGAGTCACGTCCGAACTGTTGAAAACTGCCAAATCGCATGACACTTAGTTGCTGGTCTGTGGTGCCTAAGTGCTGGTCACTAACGCTTAGGCACTACAGTCACAGTGCCTGCATTTTGTCCCCTCAGAGCTTTGCTCATAATGGTCTTTTTTGGGTGCCTAGGCCTCTTTCCGAACACCTGGGCACTATTGACGATTAGTTTCTACATCCTAGATCCTACTTTCAGTATCATGGTGCACCTTGCACATAGTGATCTTATGAGTTTCCTTCAGCTCCAATGACTCCCCTTTTTTGAATTCTATAAAACATTGCATGACTACCTTCCAAAACATGTAAAATTAACATAAACATTATTAAAAATAATATATATATATATAAGCTTATTTTTATTACGTATTAAAATCCCTCAAATTTAAACATTACTTGTCCGCAAGTAATTTTAAAATCTGAAATTGATTTATTGCATCATAGTTATAGTGGTAGTTTGTGATTATAGATCTAATTCTTATTAAGTAAAGAATGAAAATATGTAAGTAACAATAAACATGTGTCTCTTTCAACGTGAACTTTCAGAATTCACACTTAATGTCTTGTGCTAAAAAATAGTAATCTGAATCTATATATGCATCCAATGACACTTATATGAAGCTTAACTATTATGAAATTGGTATCAACCATAAAATTCTATTATTTATTTAATCAAATTAGTTTGTTCCAGTTTTCATTATTATGAGTACAAAATTTGTGGCTTAAGTTAGAGAAGTCAATGATCCCTTAACTTTAAGAAGAGGAATTGAAACCAATTTGAATTAAAGCTTCTCTTCAATCTTCTCCCCAATGGTTCTTGCAAATTTTACTTTTCTTACTCTTTTAGTGTGAACCTTTCTATAAATATTTATTTCTTCTCTCTTCTTTTTTACTTTCCCTTTTTCTCTTTTTACTCAGGATTACTACACTGATATAGATCTTTTAATAATTTTTAATTTTAGCCGCTCTTCGTAATTTAATTTTTTATGATTACACTAAATTAATTCAAACTTTTGTAATTCATGAAAGGATAACTTAGAATCCATCAGTTTTATTAAATAGTGACTGAATTTCATAAGATTGAATTATCTATTTATAAAACCTAAAAGTGTTTTTAAAATGTTTATATAGATGTGCAATAATTATTGCCTAATATCAATAGTTAGGGGTTAACTCTTCTAGTCAAGGTTTTCTAGAAATGCATGTTTCCTACTTTTATATTTTTTTTATTTACCAGCTTCTATTTATCTCTAATAAAAATTACCAATACTATTTTATTGCATTTGAAAGTTAAATTTTGAGATACTTTATGAACAAAACAATACATCCTTTTTTTTCCCCAAATCTATTAGTTTCTAACAAAAAATCAAAACAACAAAAATTAATAAAGTGCATAACTATTTCTTAGGAGAAATTACAAAACTTCTCATAAGAAAATTAAAATCGGTCACCACATAACTAAATAGTATAAATATCATAATCAAATCAGCGCGAACTCCACACGGATAAATAATAGCAACAATATAATAAAGGAAGTGGTCAACACAAACAAACACATAATATGTTCATCACAACATAAATAATTAATGGTCCGCAACAACAATAGTCGAATCAACATAAGCATAAAAACACAAATAAAGCTGCAGAAGCTAAAGAGGAACAAAGAAAATCAAAAAATTTGAGGCTACTCATTGTCAAGCATCAGAACTCTATGAGAGATATGTAACTTAAATTTTAGAGACTCAAAGAAGAAACAACACTCGAGCACTCAGTATAGTAAGGGAAAGGGGATTGGGTTGTGATCCCGATAGTTTCTTATATGTAGGGATTTATGAAGTTGACACCACTATTTGAAGATTTTAATCCTCAGTAATGACACCAAAAACTTGATCCCAAGCAAAGTAAGATTTCAATTATATTTGTATGGATTCTACGCAAGTATAGATATCGTTATCAAGTAATATAGAGCTTTCTGATTAAGCCCGGAATATCAATCCCACGGAGATCGAGGTTAATCACGACGGCTTTCAAGAAAAGTTCTAGTTTAGAATAACACGCCCTAGCTTGGAAGGTCGATAAAGGTTTGGTTTTGATTATATCCTACAATTATCACTACAATACTACTTCTTCTACTTCTAAACTAAAATACTTAGTGAAAATCAGAAAGTGGGGTTTAATATATTAAAAGACTCTTCCTCATGCAATGAAATTAGTGACATGTTTAAAGTAAAATAAGTAGTGAGAGAGATTGTGACAAATATGAGAAATTATATTATTTACACTTACTAGAGATGTTATAGAGAACATTGTTTAATATTAAGTATGAGTAGTTCTGAAGACGGGCTAGGCATGGAAGATACTAGCTCTCACTCTAAAGTCCCCTCTTATCCCTCCACCTGAAGGCTAGACCCTTTCTTGGCCCTGACCAATATTATCCTGTCAGCACAGCGGTTAGCAATGTAAACATCATAATTGTCTGAGGAGGTAAGCTCTGGTCTACCCACTCCTGATAGATAGTATCCCATCAGCACAGTGGTTAGTGAACTATTACAATTGTCTGGGGTGATAGAAAAACTCCACGCGTGCAAGTACATTGGCATCCCCTGCCTGTAACATTAGGGGGTAAAATCCTCTTCTGAAAAAGTACATACAAACTTTTATATATAATTTATTTCATTCTTTATAACATATAGTATTCTGAGATGTTTTTATGCATCTACTAACACGCATTTTTACTATGTTGTGCCACTATTTATCATGCATATCTTTCATATCATTCATATATCTATCTCATGCACATCTCTTACTTATATCATGCATATCTTTCCTACATGTCTATCTTACATATAATGTATCTAAATATCATTCATCCATGCATATCTTTCGTCCATGCACATCTTTTATAAGTTTTCTATCTTAAAATAAGTAAAATCTACTACAATATAATTCTAACTTAACTAAAGCATATATATATAAATCAACATTCATTTTGAAATAAAAACGATTGCTGAAATTTAAAAATGTAATTATTCGTCTGAGTTGCCACATTAAATTATTGATCTTCGATAACTGACTAGAGGTCGTAGTAACTTTTATGTTAAGCTTAATAACCTAAAAAACATAATGTTAAACCTTAATATTCAAGTGATTTCCGTAAATTTAATTATTCTTTCTAAATTAACATACGATTCTTTCACTAAAATTGTCGCCTCAGATAACCAACCAAAAATCTTAAGCGAATTAGGAATTCATAATATATTAGTTTATTAAGTAATTTAGCTTAAAATATCATTGATTTATCAAGACATACCTTAAAGAGCTTTCTCAACGACCAACCATTCTCCAAAGTTGTCAAATATTTTCTTTTTTTCTTAACACTTCAAAACTCATATCCCATTTACTGAAGCTTTGTTAAAACCCTTACGGAGTGCGCAACCCACATTCAACACATCCAACACAAAATCGGTGTTTCCAACGGCTGTGAGAAACAAACAATGCATGAATAACGATGCAAAAATCAAAATCGAAGGGCGAGGATGGAGATGAAAGTCTCAAATATTGTAGAAGAGGGATTCAAACTTTACAAAAATCACCCCAGAGCCCTAAATCTTGAGTTACGGCTTTCAATGCATCGCTCAGCTTCCCTGTCACTCGTTCGCCCCTTGCCACAATTGTCCGAGCGCGAGAGTTCGCAGGAACACCTCCAGGCAGGCTTTCTGCCATGTGAAACTGCAACAGAGAGAGAGGAACAGGAGAGGAAATAGGGAGAAGGGAGGAGAAGTTAAAGTTTTAGATGTCCTATTATAGATAGGGTTGTCAAAAAAGCTCGTTATTCGCAAACAACTCGTGTTAGGCTCGTTCGTTAAGTAAACGAGCCGAACACAAACAGTCTTTTGTTCGCTCGTGTTTGGCTCATTTCAGCTCAAATTATATAACTTTTTATATAACAATATATTACATATATTATTTATATAATAATATATCATATAAATTTATATCTAAGTTTAAATCATAACACCTTGTGTGTTAATGTGGTTAGTGCATTCTTTTGCATACATTTAGTCGAGGTTTGAATCCAACACTTTACATCTATTTTCTCAATTTAATTTTAACGAGTCAATTTCGAGTCAAACACGAACATGAATATTTAAATCGAGCCGAACACGAACACAAAACGATTTCGAACACGAGCAGTTACAAACGAGCCGAACACAAGCCAAGTCTGAGCTCGCTCAAGCCCGACTCGTTTACAGCCCTAATTATAGACCAATCTAAGGAAATAAAGTGGCACAAGGTTGATTATGAACAAAAGATTTGAGGATTAAAGGATAATTACTTAGGAATTAATTAGGTTAATTAATTTAATAAAACTTATAAATTTAAATTTTTATCTCTTTCAATATATTGAAAATTAATAAATAGTGTTTTATATCATATTACTCGATTTAGCACCTGAAATTTTATAAAATTAACTCAGTTAAATAAGGGGTGTAAAAATTGAGTTACATTTTTTGTTGCTGAATAAATTTATCAAATTTCAACTAATGGGTTATTACAACCAAAGTCTTGTTGTAGCCCAAAAAAAAAAAAAAAAGCATAAAGCTGCTGACTAGTCACTGTGAACTTGTATACTAACTCAGCCTCCATTACCAAACTTACCATCGATCACTTGGTTGAGAAGCTTTATTTCTAACCCTCAAAGAACACAGACAAGAGGTTCAAATCTCTACAATAGACATAATAAAAAATAATACTAAGCATAAAACATTTACACAATTTAAATTCTAGAGCACCTCATCATGTCTCTTTACGATTACAAATTCAACTGAATCCACTAGCTAGCAAAAAAGCAGAACAGAGAAAGGGAGCAGAACTTAGCTATCTGAATTTGCAGGACCAGGATCAACATTAGCCATTCTCTTCTCCCGCCAATTTGCTCCCCACATCTTAGCCTCTGCCACTGCTCGCTCCCTATCAAAATTCTGGTGGTTCAAGAAAGTAGCCGTCTCCTTAGGAGAATCATCTCTCTCCGCTGTAGGCAATTTCTGGTCATCCAGGTATGTTTTGATTCTCTCGGCTGCCTCTCTTCGACCCTTCTCAACCTCACCTCGTTGGAGACTGGAATTGGGCGAAGTGCTGGGGTCATATGGATGAGATGCCAGGTATGAAAGTGCAGTCACGATATCTTTGACTGAAGGACGGGCGGCCGGATGCTCTTGGATGCACATTGATGCCACAGCAAGAGCTTGGTAGAGCCCTCGCATGGGATATCGACCCTGGAGTTTTGCGTCAGCAACTTTAGAAAGCCGCCTCCGGTCATTTAACAAGGGCTTTACCTGCAACCACCAAGATAATGAAAACGATACAATGAGGGGAAACCACCAAATTTGCAGAATATAAAAAAATATAGCAAGTTTTGGTTATAAGATATAAAATGGTCATTGACAATCAAGGATGGGGTAAAAGAAAAATTCAAAACTCACCCACAAGATAAGATTTTGTTCTCCATGCGGCCTTGTGCTATCGAAGGCCCGCCGTCCAGTTATCAGTTCTAATAGTACAACTCCAAAGCTAAACACGTCGGATTTCACCGTTAACTGCCCAGTCATGGCATATTCTGGGGCACAATATCCGTAGGTTCCCATAACCCTTGTGGAGACATGAGACTTATCATCTGTTGGGCCAAGCTTGGCAAGGCCAAAATCGGATAGCTTCGGATTAAAATCCCCATCCAATAGTATGTTAGCTGATTTCAAATCCCTATAAATTACAGGTGGGCTAGCCTCATTGTGGAGATAATCCAATCCGTTGGCGGCACCGGCTGCAATCTTCATCCTTGTATTCCAGTCAAGAGAATCCTTGTCAGGAGGAAGATCTGCATATTAAATTAAGAAAAAAATCAGCAAATTTAGACCTTTACAAAATAATCATAATGATATTATGTAAAAGAGCAAGGCAAATTGATGGAAAATGAAAATTATAGAATAAATTGAGCTGATAGAACAAGATGTGAGCTTCAAAAACCTTAAAATATGTCTGCCAATTTGATAAGCAAGAAGACAATTAGATACAATAGTAAATGAATAGTGTATTTATTTACATTCTTATAATGTGTTCAGTGTTATGTTTAATCCATTTTGTTCAAATTCTTTTGAATAATTTCTATCAATATTAGCTTTAGTTTTACATGTTTTACTAATGCTTCAAAAATAAGTTCATCTACTGATCTTATTGGTGCATGTTAAACATCATGCCCGAACCAAAAAGTCCATTTTATTAGATTAAAGATTCTCATTAACAATTGAGAAAATGAAAACACAGATTTAGGCGGAGAGAAAAAATCTATATATTTCTTTTCTTTTAATTTAAAGTATTAGAAGGGAAAGAAAATTTTCATCTAGTTTTTTATTGAGAGTTGAAGAAAAAAAAAGGAAAAGAAACATTAAAATTATATTTACATATATATATATATATAATCATAAAATTAATGAATAGTTACGATTCTTTCCTTAAAATAAGTATAGTTTAGTCAGTACTAAAATGTTAAGTGAATTCATCATCCATTTTTTGCGTGTTTTGGGTGGAAAGCAAAAATAAAAATTTCTATATAGGAATGTTTTCCGCTTTGTTTTATCTCTTTCCTTTTTTCAGTTAAAACTCAATTAAAAGTATTTACATACATTCTAATTCTTTCTTTGCTCCTGACATTTTAGCTGCCAATTAAAGTAATGGAGATCTTCAAGTTTACGCTCATTTGAATCATTGCAATGAAAAAGAAATCGTAGCCTGGAGATAGTTGTCTTGTACTATAGTCAAGTGACAAAGGATGATGACCTGAGATCAGTGACAAGGGTCGAACAACTGTAGACCAGCCGAGGTTGAACAAATGACCGTAGTCGGGAATTGATGGTCGGGTGATTATAATGCAACAATAGAGAGCAACTATAAATACGTAAGAAAGGGCTGGCAACCATAGTCAGGCGTCATAGGCCTAATGGCCATAATTAAGCGTTGGTGATGATTTGATTGTAGTGGTTGGAAGGCAGCAACCCAAGTATATGGGGAAAGCCAAAACGTGGTGAAAGTCAAATGACTATGGGCAAAAGGCAGTGCCCAGATAATCATGGTTAGGTGGCACGGGCTAATAGTGGTGACACATAAATGGTAACATTCTGACATCAATGAATAGGATATGGTAGTCAGAAAATTTTGGACAAAAAAGGATAGCCTAATGATGGTTTGATAGCAATAGTCAAAAGGCAGTCATCTGATGACACTGGTCGAGCAGTGACTATCAAACGTGGTTGGGCAATGGAGGTGGAAAACAATTATCTGACGATTGCGAGCAGGTTGCAATGATCCAACAACAATGATTAAGTATCGCTCAAAGATTCTCAAAATCTCAAACTTCTCGCCAATCTCCAATCCATGTCCAAGTCTAGGTCCAACCTTTAGCACTTTTGGTCACTCTTCAAAAAAAGAGTTTATTTATAGATTTATGATTGACATCCTCAATAAATATCACTTTGATCAAGAAAAAGTCCATTAGATAGACCAGACTAATTTCCTTGATTGTGAGATATGTTATGAGTATTTGAGTGCCTAGTTGATGTGAGCTAAGTGACCTTAGGCACGTTAGATTTGTCTCCTTGAACACTAGATTTAACCATAAGCAAGAAAGATTTAAATATCATTCATCCTCCAATTAATATTTCAAATCTTCCAATTATGTTTAAGTTGTTTAATAAGAACTCATTTAGACTCAGATCAAATCATTTTTTTGTCATTTGGCTCATCACATTAAAAAGTTGATTTTAAATGTAAGTTTGTTGAAATTCGAGTTCAGATGATTCTTAAGTAAATTCTAGAAGTTTCCAATCTCAAAAATGAATCGAGATTCACGCCTAATCAATATGAATTTTTTGGTGACACATCAATCCTGCAACAAATCTATACTTAGTTTGCAATAATTATTGCAATTTATACCTAGTTTAAATTATGAGAGCCACTCTTGATGCTGCTAATTAAGGATTTTGGCAGCTGCTACATGCAAATTAATACAAATGTGTCATGGAAATTCTAGAATTGTCCTCGTTTGCTCCAATTAGGATGATAAATAAATCAATGCACTTGATAAATAACTCAAACTCTACTTGATTAATACTTGGTCAAGCTTGTTTAATTAGTAAGAAAAAAAGTTTGAACATTCTTTTAAAACTCGACTAAATGGATCAACCATAAATATGATTTAACTAGTTTAGTTATGTTCACGAACAAAATTATTTGTTGCTCAACAAATAACCTTTTAAAATAGTATATAATTATAATATATATTAGCTAAATAAATCTGATTAGCTAAGAGTTATTTAATAATAAATTTAATAGTAATATATTAATTTAATATTAATATGTAGATTAATCTAATGCAATTCATTCTTATTCATTTATTTCAATGAGCTAGTTTGCTTGTACATATTTATATAATTTCATTGCAAAAATAAAATTACTTACAACTTATATTTTATCTTATCTAATTAGTGTAAATTACTTAAATACTATTTCGAAATTTATTCAATTGCTTATATATTTAAGTTTATAAAAACATTTATTCATAATTTTATATAAAACTTTAAATAATCAACCAAAATTTTAGCTTGTTTATTATCTAGTTATCGTAATATTCTAATTAAAATAAAATACCAAGTACAAATCAAGTATAATTACTAAAGTTAAACAAGTCAAATATGAACATACAAGTGAAAGTTTGGTTCGACCCCAAGCTAAATATGAACATAAATATGAACAAGCGAGTCCAATCTATGGCATACACAGCTCGACTTGGGTTGATTACAAACTTTGTTTTGATTTACAACACACTAGTCATGGGAATTCAAAAATTCATTGTGGTTGAACCATATGTAATTGGTTTAACCCCATATTCAAATTTTAAGGAAAAATATTGATCGACAAATAGACAACAACAACAAGCTTGTATCCCATTAATTGGGATCCGCTACATGAATCTTTTTTCTTCAGTGTGTTCTATTGATTGTCATATTGTCATTTTATTTTAATAGATAACAAATAATATATTGTTCTCAGTATATATAAATAAATAATATAAGCCATGTATGATTATTAGCTTTTGATTAATTAAACTTAGATTATTGTTCTCAATCATTTAGGTCAACTAGAAATGAAATTTATTCGAGCATAGTGCAAGTGTGGCAAACTTTAGTCAAATTTTGTTTCTTATGCCAACTGGAAGCTGTAGTTTGGAGATCTTTATCCTTTATCCTTTTACTTATTAAAGACTTAGTTATTGGTATTACCTGAGTTCTAATTTTGTCAAATTTGCAGCAACTTTAGATGTGTTATAGGAATTAAATTACTCATTGGTTTTTAGTGATTTAAATTTTCTTTTAATTCTTTTAGATTTATTTGATCACTAATTATCATTTTGATCCAAATTTTGATATTTTTAGGTTTAATGCTAAAAAATGCCAATTATGCACATTTAGTGACCTTTGTAAGAACAATTATTTATTTTTTATATGATGAAAAATTTATTGAATCAAAGAAGTTGCATTAAAAATCGTAGACTCAAGAGGCCTATTTGGTCATCATGGCTTAAAAAAAATTGAGCAGACCTCGAGGTGCACCTTGATCAAAGGTGCATAAAAATGGCCTCAATGTCACCAATTAGGCCTTTATCTTTTTTTGACCGAAGCATAAGTTTCAAGGCATTCAAGGTGTGCGCTTTAATGAGATAATGTAAAAAATAATTATATTAATAAATTATACAACTAATATTTCTTACATCATAAATAATACTTATATTGTATCTAATATATTATATTTTACGAATAGTTCTTATTTTATATCTAATATAAATTTCTTTAGGTCAGTTTGACTCCAGATTTAAGTTAAGCGTCTTGTCCGCATGCAGCTGTTGTAGGTTGGTCAAGCCAGAGTCGTGGCCAAGCTAGTCTTAGTCGAGTAGAAACTTGCAAGCTCGTCTCACGAGGAAGATAAATTGCCAACATACCAATCGAGACTCACGTTGTTTAGGTTTTGGTTTTTTTAATTTTATTTTAAAAAAATAAGAATAAGAACAAAATATAGTGGCTAAAAAAGATTTTAATAATGCAGATGAGTATCAATCAAAAGATGATGCAGGTAATGCATATGATAACTCTTTTAAAGGAATTGAAAATGATAATAAGACTATAATGAACTATAATCCTCATAGCATATTCAAATTTTAAATGAGCCCTTATCTTAAATCTAATTTCAATTTTTCATTTTATATTAGAATTTAGGATTGTAATTTGCTTAAATTTTCTTATTATATGATTTTATGGTTTATATTTATGATAATGACTAAGTAAATATATCAGTAATTTATATTACATTTATGAAGTATTCTTAATTTTATGAGTTTTTTTTTTTCTGATTTGTGGCATATGCCTTGATCCATCTTGAGGTCTATGCCTCACTTCACAAACGAAAAATCCATTCTCAATATTATCTTTTTAAATCTTATTGGTTACAACCAGCTAAATTTCTAGTCCATTTTAAATGCGGTGCAAAATGAATTTACCCTTTTTGAAATACTTTATGATGTTTGGTTTATTAAAGAGTAAACTCAAGGGATTATTTTTTTGTGTTTAAATTATTGCAAAATAAAAAATTATAGATTTATTTTATTAATACATGTTTTTATAGGGCATCAATATGAGGGCAACAATGGTGGTTAGTGTCAGGTAGGGTAAGTGATTAGTAGTCAGCATTGAAGGGGTGGTGACTAATGTAGCGGACAATCATCAGTAGGGCGAGTGCGACTATGAGTGACTATATGAAGGTGGTCAATAG